CTGCTACCACTTTCAGTTTAGCTTGTCTTGAACAGAATTTATTTTCTTCTACTCTCACCACTGTTTTTCCTGATTGTACTAGTAAGCTTTTCATTACTTGGAGTAAAATACCTGAGAGGAGCGAATTTGAAAGGAAGAAGGTTTATTTTGGCTTAGAGTTTGCAAGTTCATAGTCTAAGACTGTGCAGCCCCATTAGTCTGACATCTGGGGGAGGCTGACAATGATGGAATATGTATGGAGGTACATTTACATAGTCAGCCAGGAAAGACACAGGAAGCTCACTCTTCCTCTACACTCTGTGTGGTCTCTCCTTATAATGTCATCATAATTTGAACATGGGGCTCTACATTAGCATCTAATTCAATCCAATCACTTCATAGAGGCTCCACCGTCAGACACCATAATTGGATCAAGCCTCCACCTTAATCTATTTTTTATTTTTTATTTTTTTTTTTTTGACAGGCAGAGTGGACAGTGAGAGAGAGAGACAGAGAGAAAGGTCTTCCTTTGCCGTTGGTTCACCCTCTAATGGCCGCCGCGGCCAGCACGCTGCGGCCGGCGCACCGCGCTGATCCGATGGCAGGAGCCAGGTACTTATCCTGGTCTCCCATGGGGTGCAGGGCCCAAGCACTTGGGCCATCCTCCACTGCACTCCCTGGCCACAGCAGAGAGCTGGCCTGGAAGAGGGGCAACTGGGACAGAATCTAGCACCCCGACCAGGACTAGAACCTGCTGTGCCGGCGCAGCTTGGCGGAGGATTAGCCTAGTGAGCTGCAGCGCCGGCCTCCACCTTAATCTAACAACCATTCCTCCAAGTACCATTAACTTAAGATTTGGATATTTAAACATCTGCATGAGTTTGGGGAGCCACATCCTGTTCAACCCACAACACTGGTCTTACTGGTTTAGTAACCTAATTATTCCTCCACGTCAATCAAACTCAAAATCCTAGGGTTATCTTTGACTCCTAGATACTTCCCTCCTCATAAATTATCTTCTTTGAGAATGTGCCAGTAGATTCCTGTTTCATTACCTTACATGTGTGTTAGACATGTAAAAGTTTGATCATTATTTCTCCACAGCTTAAAAACTTTCAATAGATACCCAATGCCTAAGAATTATATGTTAACACCTTAGTGTCTCATTTAAGCAATCAAGGATGTCAACCTATTTTTGGAGAGTAATCTTTTTATACTTTATGTAGCCTATTTTCTTCCTTACTTCACTATTTTCCATTGCTGGAAAATGCTTTGCACTTTCTCAACTCTGTTTTTCTTAATAACATTTCATTTGACTAGAATGCCCACTCTTCTCACCTCCAACTCCCACGGCTAAAGTCCTTTCTCATCCTTCAAAGCCTTTTCTGCCATGATCATTTTTCTGATGTATCCAAAAAGGCATGCTCTCTCTCTCCTCTGAACTCAACAGAGTATGTTCTTTTCACCTCTTGTATGATACATATTATTTTCTGCCTCAATCTGTAGACTTTCTGTATTTCTGATCTTCCCTACAAGACATAAGGGTCTTATAATTAAGAAAATATTAATTATTTCTGCATCTTCTATTATGTCTAGCATGGTACCTTTCATAGAACAGATGTATAATACATTAATGAATATTTGTGGCACATTTTCTAATTGGTTGAGTTTTATATCAGCAGAGCTTATGATCTGGATTAACATGCAGTCAGTACATATACTGATATAACCAAAGTAGATATGTATTAACTGTGTACATTCTGACAATATAACTTATTAACATTTTTATTTTCTAATGAAGAGCACGGACTATCACCTCATTTTGCTTAAATATGGAATTTAAAATGCTGCAGTAAGAAACATCTGGTAGAGCTCTGTATTTTACCTATAGTAATTTCCATCTGTAAGCGAGGATAATGGAGATGGTAAGCAAAGCAGTACATCTTTGCTGTTTGTAGTTAACTCTGATTTCAGATTGTTTGGGCTTATTTCTCTTATTCAACTTTACTTGGGGAATATGGCCTTCTTTGCAGTTTGGCTTTTCTGCTTTTCTGCCAACACGCTGAAGCAGAGATTACTGGAAAGGAACAAGGATACCAGTACTGATCAGGGAAAGCATAGCAATACCAAGGCAATGGGATCCTGGAATGGAACTCAGTCAGGTGCCTAAGAAAGTGAAGACAACAGAGGACCAGCAGGCAAAGATGAGCTAGCTAGGAAAGGCTGAGATGGGGAAGAGACCTATAAAAGTCTCCAGTTCAGCTGCTTCTAGAAAGAGGTTAGCAGACAGGTGAGTTTTTGGCAGACTTGTAAACTTGGTGCCTTCTGGCTCCTCTTCTCTGCTTTCAGGTCTTCTGCTGATGTCCACAGTGTTTTACTGACCATTGCTATATCCTTTTAGTTTCATTTAACCTCTGGAAATTTGCTTTGGCTTCTGTCACTTGAAATGACTGCCATAACTATTTCAAACTGTGTGTGTTCACAGAGGCACGCCGGGCACAAAACAAAGGAGATCCTGATGCAGCCTACTTGGAATTAGCACTAAACAATTATGCAGTTTGTGAATACCTTCTTGGTACCTCACAGTTGACAACACTATATTCCCTTGAGAACCAAACTCACAGAAACCGCATGGAATGATCTCTCTCTAAATCATCTCACTCTCATGAGGTGTGAGACTTATCAGACACAGGCCTTAGCAAATTTGTATTTTTAAAATAAACAGCCAAGAAAGATTAAGGTAGTTCTTTTATGGCATAGAATAATATACTTTTACTTATCATCTGCTTAACAGAGAACTGAATTGACACAAAAATTATTTCAGCTTGCCTTTTAGTGACTATTAGTGCTCTGATAGGACAAGAAAGAGCAGTGAAGGTTTTCATTTTCCTTAAGAGGTGGAAGGGGCCTCTGAGAGCAAGGTAGAACACTCTCGTTTTAAAGACAAGATGGGTGGAATGGCTGCCCCATAGTTATAGGTCAGCAGTGCTTCTAACATTCAACCATGCAGTCTTCCCTTAAAGTAATATGAACATACAAACACAGATTTTCATTACTTTCCTCCAGTCTTCACTCTTTCTGTATGTCATCTTCAATGTCTTCATACATATAAAGCAGTTTCATATTCCAACCAAAACGCTACCCTTCCTGTAATCAAATCTCACCTTCAGGTTCATCTCCCCAGGACTGTCCATTAATAGCCAAGGCTTAACATTTATCCATTACCCATCAGGATTCACCCAAAAACAAAAAAGATAAATATAACTTTCATTGTCTTCTGCTGTAAATTTCATTGTTGTCAAAAGCTTCCCCAGACAACTCCATATGGGGCCTCATTTCTCTCACTGGTTTATTGGAGTGCAATGATTTGGAGAGCTACCAATTTCTATTTTAATGACATAGAATAACTTCCAGTCCAGGTACAGAATATTTTTTGAATTGTAGGATATTCACGGCAAACCTTATTATTCTAAAGTAAACACTTTTAGTACTTTTAGTTATTCTAAATTAAGTTCACATATTAACTACTGCTTCTCCTTAAAAAAAAAAAAGAAGTATTTATTCGAGGGGCCATGTTTGTGGCACAGTGGGTTAAGCTGTGGCCTGTGACGCTGGCATCCCATATGAGCGTTGGTTTGAATACCGGTTGCTCCGTTTGCTTTCCAGCTCCCCACTTATGTGCTTGGGAAAGCAGCAGCAGATGGCCCACGTACTTGGGCCGCTGATATCCATGTGGGAGATCTGGGATGTAGCTCCTGGTCCCTGGCTCCTGATTTCAGCCTCACATAGCACCAGCTGTTGTGGCCATTTGGGGAGTGCACCAGTGGATGGAAGACTTCTGTCTCTCCCCCTCTCTCTATAACTCTGGCTTCCAAATAAATAAATAAATAAATATCTAAAAAAATACTTATTTGAGAGTCAGAGAGAGATTGAGGACTCCCATTCACTTGCTCAATGCCCCAGTGTCTGCAATGGCATGGGTGCCAAAGCCAGGAGCCAGGAACTCAATCTTGATCTTCCATGAGTGGCAGGAGTTCAACCACTTGAGCTACCACTGCTGCCTCCTAGGGTATGTATTAGCAGATAGCTGGAGTCAGGAGCCATGCTGGGTATCCAACCCAGTTGTTTCAGTGTGGGAAATGGGCATCTTAACCAACATGGTCTTAACATTTAGGCCAAATGTCTACTCCAAATTATTCTTTTCTCACTTACTTCTCCACATAGCTTTAATCCCATGAAGATGACTTTTTAAATCAACTACCCTAATATCTTTTTCTATTAAAAGAAAGATATGAATTAAAAATGTAAAACCTTACTTAGAGGAGGTGGATAGTTAAGTACACTTGGATTTTCCTGTGAGAAGCCATAGGGAATGAACAGAGAAGGTAGAGAACTTTCTAGTTCCATTTGAGTGAGAGAAGTTATTTTTGATTCTTAGATGTTTTACTTTTTTCTTCCCCAAGATCAAATTTTATAGTGTAGTTTTATCTACTACTAATCAAATATACATACAAAGACAGCTTCCAATACTTGGGAATTTTGAAGAATTCTGAATTAACTGTGTCTTTCCTCCCTTTATTAACACAAATAATATAGAAGAGACTGTACTGTGAAACCAAAATGGCCTCTAGAAACAAGCATTATCTCAGTTTCCTTACCTATGAATAGCTAATGTGATATCCTTAGGGCCAATTACTTTTAATGATTTAATTACATTTATGGTTTTAGACCACCTTCCACCAGACCACATGCTCATAAAATAACAATTAAAAATATTTAATATTAAACACAGTTGGAGCACTTGTTTCCCAGTGTTTTTTTTTTTTTTTCAGTCTATGGTAATTTGAAGATATAGTTACCAAGCTGAAATTTGCAATCATGGAGATGTAGATTCCTGCTGATTTTCACACATAAATTGGGATCAACTGTTGAAAAAAGTCTTCATGCAGAAGTTGTGTGTGTGTGTGTGTTAGAGGGTACTCAGTTCTTCACATTCAGATGTGAACTGGAATCGGTATTACCTGGATTTCTTGGAATCCGCTTTCTCCGGTCTCGGAATGCTGCACCTGATTGTAGAGCTTCTAGAAGATTATCCATCACGCCAGTCTCATCACCCTCTGGAGGAAGGAAGAAATCGGAATTAATCTTGGAGCAATTAAAGTTAAACTACAGGAAAATAAAGGGAAAAACTCCTGTCAGATTTACATAATACCCTTAAATTAAAGACATATATCTGTTTTAACATAATGGATCCTGTCAGTTTCTGGCACCACAGACTACTTTGCTTATTACGCACCATTAAGCAAAATTCATGCCAATCCCACTGTTCTTTCAACTTAAAGGCCTTGTCTTTTGTATTATTGATGACACGCTCAGTATGCAAATAAACAGTGGCTGATCAGCTACTGCTGCCTTCCTGTTAAGATTCTTATAAGATATTCCTAAGCAAGAAACCACTGACCCGGCTTAATGCAATCAATGTGCAGGGCGTGATTTGATGAAGCGGAGTTACACAAGGTTAAATACTGATTTTATTAATACCTTCAGCATTCAACCATCATCTGCGATTATCTCAAAAGACACTATTTGCAAAACACATTTGCATTCAATTCCTACCTAATCCATATCCTTTACTCATTTTGAAATGCTGACATTGTACAAAGAAAAGGTGACCACATCATCTGAAAGGCCACATTTTACATTTGAGAGACATCAGCCAGAGTCTCATTGCCTTTTTAGAATGCTGTTGTGTGTCTAAACTTTTCCTACGGGGAAAGAACTGCTCAGAAGTCATGAGTGAGGTACTCCAAAGATGTTCATGGAAATTCCTAACCGAAACAGCTTTAAAAAGTTTCACCCTACTCTTCTCTTTGACAACTCCAGCCATCAAATACACTCTTAAAATTTGTTAGAGCCTTTGTCTCAAGATGTCAATTTCAGAAACTCTCTACTACACTGTGGATAATGTACAGTGAGCTGAGCCTTCCAACCGGCTCAGCTGATGAAAAGGACCCTAACCCTAGGTGGCTGTTTTGAGTGGTAGCTAACCATGTGAGTGAGTCTGGGGTAAAGGATACTTACAGGCAGGATGGTTAAGTGAAGAAGGCATAAGAGAGAAGACATTGTTTCTGATGCTATTCCAAGGTTAAATTTAAATCTTTGTTTAAAGAATGAACTACAGGGTTTCAAGATCACAGAAAAAATATTCTCTTATGAGACAAGAAAAAGCTAAACTGTTTTTTGATTATGCTCTTCTTTTGACTTGAGACTTCTTCAATGTTCCAATAGTTCATTCTTTTAAAATAAACTCTAGGACAGGATATTGAATGAAAACGAAGAAGAGAAACACCAGTCCAATATTTAGTGAAGACAGGAAAAGCAAAACAAAAAGTAGAGCCCCAGTGGCTAAATAGAGAAATTGTACACTTTTTATATTTATTAAGGTCACAGAAACATCTGAACCATCATCTGCTCTTTTCAATAGAAAGAAAAGCTAGATGTTTCTGGAAGAATTAAATTTCATGCACTAGACACTTCACATTTGTTATATCTTTAGTCCTCACAACCACACATGGAGATGGGTACTATCTCTCTCCTTTTCAGCTGGAAATACTAAAACTTAGACATCATACAGCTGGCACGTGGAGGTGTCAATATGACACCAAGACCAGCCCTCTTTGCAGGGCAGCTTGCAGAAGTTGAAATGGACTAGGCACACAGAGGTCAGTAGATTTCTAAGACTTACTTTTGCAAACCTCAGATCAGATTAGCTATATTTTATGTACTCAATACCCACACACGGTTCATGGCTTTTGTACTGGGGAGCACAGCTATGACCTCATCACCTTTATACTTTAGAAAGACTTTTCAGTCAGTATTGTGAAGGATGATTCAGAGCATGGCAAGAAAGAAAGTGGGCAAGTTTTTAGGGGCATAGATTAATAATCTAAGTAACTGTTAAAGGCCTGAGATAATGAGAAATCAGAGTGAATGGAGAGGATGGATATTTTGAATACAGTCCATAGGGCTTGGAGGGGGTGAAGGAGCGCTGGCAGTATATAAGGAGGAGGGAAGTCACCTAAATGGTCAGGGATAAACAGGATTGAGAAAACGTGATGATGTATTTGAGATGCCTCATGAATATCTAAGTAGGGATAGTTAGCAAGCAATTGGAAACGCGGGTCTGGAACCTGGGAGTGGAATCTGGACTAGAACTGAAGACTGAAGTGTCTTTGGAAGATGGGTGTGATTACTTTGAGATAGTGTATCAGAAGAGGACGAGTGGGCAGCTATGAGCAATGGTTCAAGTCCTGGCGAGCTGCTCCACTTCTGATCCAGCTCCGTGCTAATGTGCCTGGAAAAGCAGCAGAAGATGGCCCAAGTGCTTGGGCCCCTACACCCATGTGGGAGACCTGGAAGAAGCTCCTGGCTCTTGGCTTTGGCCTGGCCAAGTCTTGGCCATTGTGGCCATTTGGGAAGTGAACCAGTGGATGGAAGATCTCTCTCTTTCTTTGTCTCTCTCTCTCTGTAACTCACATACTCATTACATTGTTATTTACTGTAATTACCATGATGTACAACACATTTCTCTCTCTCTCTCTCTCTAATAGATTTATTTATTTTAGAGACAGAGTTACAGAGATGCAGAGACAGAGAGAGAAGTCTTCTATCTGCTGGTTCACTTCCGAAATTGCTGCCACGGCCAAAACTGAGCCCACCCGAAGCCAGGAGCTTCTTCCGGGTCTCTGATGTGGATGCAGGGGCTGAAGGACTTGGATCATTTTCCACTGCTTTCCCAGGCCATAGCAGAGAGCTGGATCGGAAGCGGAGCAGCTTGGACTGGTACTGGTGCCCACCTGCTGCGCCACAGCCCTGGTGCCACAACACATCTCTTGAACCTAGTCTTCTTAGCTGAAAGTTTGTATCCTTTCACCAGTATCTCTACTCCTCCACGCCTGGAGCACAGGCAGTCAGGAAAAGTGGAATTGCAAAGAAGACAGGGAAGGAGTTTTTAGTGATATATAAGTACAAACGGGAGAGAACTGAAGCACAAGTGAATTTCATGTATCCTTATAAAATGGTGATTATAAAGACTGTAGAAAATGAGTAAATATAAATAAGTGCAAAGAACAGAATATAAAATAGTATGCATTTATGGTTTACATAAATAATATGCAAACATGAAAAAATGTGTAAAAATGACATTATTGATATAACGTCATCACAATTTTTAAATAGTATTATATTGTGACTGGACTAAAAAGATGGGAAAAATATGACAGTAGAGGAATTAAAAATAAATATCTTTGTGTAATCTAATGGTTGCACCTGATAACACTTATCAAAGTACTATTATTCTAGATCAGTGATATTCAACCTTTTTTCATTATCATTCCCCCATACTCCCTAAGTCTTTATAGACATCTTTGTTTCCTAAACATTTAATGTTATATATACATTTTATATCTGTTTGAGTATGATGATGGCTCTTTGGAGGGCTACAGACCACTGTAATATCTAAGACATATTTCTCTACCCACCTTCCCAAGAGCCAATTTTCACCTTCTTGGGTGAATATTCTCAGCCTCTGATGAGAATGCATGTGGTAGATGGCTCTGCTTAAAAAATCAAAAAGTCTTTGTAAACATTCCACATGTGTGCGTTAAAGGAAAGACATTTGGGATGCAGTTCCCATTATTTTTTTCATTTGTTCCATGATAACTTTCTAAGAAGCTGAGTGATTTTCATAAAATGTCTAACCCTACTGAATCAGGGTTTTAGGAATGTAATCATATGATAGACTTGTTTCAGCTATTCTTCCTGAAACCATGGAAGCCAACACGATCATTTGAAAGGAGCTATTCTTCACTTTGAACCAATTTCAGTGAAAGTTGATATGTGACTCAATTGTGTAAGGTTGACATTTCATTTAAATTTCCAAGTTTATAGATCCATCAATTTGTACTTAGATGTGGCTAGCAGGAGTGAACAGCTTTTCCTCTTGTCTATGAGTTCTGATTTAAGAAAAAAATCTCAAAATTCTAAGCATTTATTTAACTGAAAAGGAAAATAACGTTATTGAACATAAATTAAAAAAATTCATTTCTTACAATTCCAAATAACTATTTTACTACGTGAAAGAATATCAAGGGGAAATCTGGTAATTATTTTTAGTAATTAAATGATAAATATGTGCATGTCTAAAAGCTAAAAAGTCAGAAGCAAATTTCTAATCTTTCATCTTGAAATGCGCCATGATTAGTTCTAGGGAGTTAGGCAGACTGCGTGCAGTTTGTGGCCTCTGTGAGCTCTTGTCATTAGATAAAATTAAAGACATGCATTGTGCTTTTTTTTCACATTTACCATAGTATTTGTCATTGACTAGCTGCTGAATGCCTGGTGATCCTAATCTTTAGCATCAACAATCTGTGTGGTATTGACTTAATTTCTCCCAAAGTTTAGAGATGCCACAAATTAAAAGTACAATGAGAAAAATTAATGATCTCTGCTATAACTTTGTGCAAGTCTATTCCCGAGTAGTAAGCATATACTTATTCAGAGCCCATTCTTTCTCGATTACTGACATTTCTACACATTTTGTGAACACAGGCACTGACATCTTGGTTTCATAATACCTCTTCAGGGATGTTTTCACAATGAACAGCTTTGGAAGGCATACTGTCTCCCTCTAGTACAGAGGGAAGGTTCGCTGCTTTGAAGATGAATTATACCTTCTTCAAGACAAATGTCAGATAGAGTTGCTTTTAGTTCATCATAAAAGATTTGGGTTCTTTAAGTATGGGGTTCCTTGGCAGTGATACAAACCACCTGGGCCTGCCTTTGTAACACCCAATGGGAGCAGGAGGGCAAGAGAATAATGTGAAAACTCATACTTGCTATACCATGAGTAACACAGTTCTGTGTCTCAGATCCAGTAGGCTCATGTATTTTATCAATATCCATGAGACTGGCAGACTAACTTGCTAGTGTGGAAGTGGGGTAAAATCTCTGACCCTTTATAGTTTTTGAAATTTACTCTGTGATTTCTCCTTTGTTTTTAATGAAACATTATTACTTAGAATAATACTTTGTCCTCTAGGAACTTAAGCACCTATTG